AACACAGACACTGTCAGTACACACAGTCTCTCTACAGCCAGTGATCTCATCCCTGTAACACAGACACTGTCAGTACACATGGTTTGTATACAGCCAGTGATCTCATACCTGTAAACAGGCACTGTTTTTACACACAGCATTAATAATCTCTAAATGAGCTGCAGTTCATCTGTATCACAAGAGACAGTCATAGTGAGAAACACATGAACAATCCCCTATTTAGCTCCCCACACTGCTCCCTCTCTCTCTCTCACCGGATGGTGTCCAGCAGGATGTCTATGAAGAAAGTGTAGCTCTCAGCGGGGATGTTGCCCTTGGCCAGGAATACTTTATTATAGCTGCCCTCCATCAGATACTGTCACAGAAGAACACAGACATCAATGAAGGTCAGAGGTATAGAAATCTCCCTTTCACACAATAGAAACAGAAGGAGCAAGAGGAAGAGAGCAGGCAGAACACAGCAGAGACACAGTTACAGTAACAAACCCTACCTGCTCTAGAGAGACGAGGTGTAGAGGGAAACCCTACCTGCTCTAGAGAGACGGGGTGTAGAGGGAAACCCTACCTGCTCTAGAGAGACGGGGTGCAGAGGGAGACCCTACCTGCTCTAGAGAGACGGGGTGCAGAGGGAGACCCTACCTGCTCCAGAGAGACGGGGTGCAGAGGGTGACCCTACCTGCTCCAGAGAGACGGGGTGCCGTATGTAGACGTTGCTCTGGATGTCTCGGGCGCTCAGCCTCTCCAGCTCGGTGTGGAACTCGGAGACACGGTTCTGGGACAGCAGGAACAGCAGGTTCAGACCCAGCAGCTGGTGCTTATAGGCCGAGTCTGGCAGCTCGTCTCTGAGAGATGGGTGGGGAGGACACAGAAAGAAGGGTGAGAGACGGAAGTAGAGGAGGACGGGAGAAGAGGAGACAGGGAGAGGAAGGGAGGCAGAGCATTTAATTAACACAGAGACACAGAACCAGTCTGATACACAGGTGGAGTTTCGAGAGGAGACAAGAGCTGGCAGAAGAACACATACAGTCAGACAGCAGAACAACCAAACATGCTGCCACAGACAGGCCTGGCAGGGATAAAGAGAGACACAGGTAATCAGAGGCGAGGACAGGGAGACAGAAACAGAGCAAAGACAGAGTCAGACAGACAAAGGGACAAAAGGAGAGCTCAGACAGAAAAGAAGTGCTGTCAAGACCTGTTTCTGTCAGTATCCAGTGACAATGAATGCCTTTGCATGAGCAGGCAGCTCATGGAACGAATGGCTGTAACCACCCGCGTCACCACACACACTGCTATTGCACTGTTAGCCCCTGGGCCGGTCCGAAGGACCGGACCGGCGCCAACCCTCCCACGGGATCCGTGCAGTCCGCCTGCACGGTGATTACTGCCGGAGCCGAGGCATAAAGACACGGACAGAGCTGGCGTTTCCAAAGAGGAAAACCAAAAACTGCCGGCGCTGGATTAAAGACCTGGCAATTTCAAGGCAAACACTCTCACGTAGAGAGGGACAGAGAGGGACAGAGAGGGACAGAGAGGGACAGAGAGGGAGGGGGACGGAGGGGGACGGAGGGGGACGGAGGGGGACGGAGGGGGACTGAGGGCAGGCAGAACAACTGACTTGTAGTCGAAGTAGTAGCACTTGAGCTGAGCCATGTATCTCTCAAAGGAGGGGATGTTCCTGTCCAGGATACTCCACTGGGCTCCGATCTCCAGCACATCTCCTGGCACAGGCAGAGAGAGGCAGGGATACGATGACTGGGGGCCCTTGCCTTGAAAAGCATTCACATTAACAAAGCACTTCTCTGCTACCTTCCCTCATGGCAAGAAAGAGTGAAGCATTTCTTACCACTCAGGAGGCTTCTTACTGCTGTGAAGGTGAACACAATTACACGTGCCTTACATGTGACACGTTTACATTTCCAGTGAAACAAACTCCAGGAATACAGAGCACTGACCACAGAACTTATCATCACGTGCTTTTCATTTATCTGCTGATCTGTTAGACGTTTTGCGGTGACAGATCCACAACAGCACGATATGAGTGTAAGGGACTATTAATTATTATTATAGATCATCCATGCTTTCAAAATCACATTACTGTGGAAAACGGAGTTTGGAGTTTTATTGTAGGACTGGTTTTCCAAATGAGAAATGTATTAATTTCTGGAATATATACAGTAGGTCCTGTGAACTTCTCTCTCCGACAACGGCTGTCCAGGGCAAGACAATCTCTTCTGATCAAACGTCAGTTTATGATTTTGTGATTAACTTACAGTCCGTAATGTAACTTGTGCCGATGACTGCATGAAGCCGAGTCAATAAACGACAGACCAGCCGCAACACAATGACCTGCAGAGATCTGGCGCTGCCAAGGGGCCATTACTCCTGACCTGGCTTGGGTGGATTCTAAACAGACACCTGCTGTTGTAGGAGACATCTCAGGAAAATCTGAAGGGGGGGGATAATTATCAGGAAGAGCCACTGAACCAAAAGTGGAAGAATTTCAAGAATTTGGTCACTCAAACACCTACTCAAAGTAATAACACAGAGTGACCCTGGCTGGACACCTGTAACACTGCTGGAATGCAGGACCCTGGGAGGGAACACGCCTTGTGTCCGTCTTCTCCCAGTGTTCTCCGGAAATGGCGTTTTTTGGCACAATTTAACTCCCCTCGAACCTTCACTGGACTGTGCTGTGGCTCCTTGCATCTCTACTTATCGAAGTCAAGGAAGTTGAATATGGAGCCCAGGAGAAGTGCCATAGTTCATTTTGCTTTGAAAGCGTACAAGCCTACAGGATCCTCCCAGAGATGAACAGAGCAAAAATGCTGTCGCCCTGGTGTTAATAATGTGAGGTGCTTGTGCCCCCACAGAGCTGGCATCTGTACCAGAAACCCCGAATCCCACTGTCAGGCACTGCCCGAGACGCACAAGAGCCGAGAGCCGAGAGACGGGGGTACACGGGGGTACTTACGTGCCAGAATGAGCTGCTGCTTGGTCAGCTTGGTCCCTGAGGTGGGCAGGAAGTTTAACTCCAGCAGGGAGATCTGGAGAGAGGACAGGAGTTTATTTGCCACCTGTACCTGTGTACAGTACGTGTCCACTGGGACTCTTATACGGCCTGTTCTCTCAGGACGCGCACAGCGCGATACACAACACCAGTCAACATGCACGGCCCATTACGGCACATCACACAACAGGAAATAAAAAAACGATGACAATCACAGCAACAACATCCAGCAGGGAGCATAGAGCAACAAACACATAGTACGATAGAGGGGAAGAGGAGAGAGAGAGAGGACATTTACTGTGAAGCTCTAGATTTGCGTTTTATGTTAACTGTATTTGTTTTTCTCTGATTTCACTCATCAGTCATGCCAATAAAGCACCTTGAATCTAACTGAACTGGAGTTGAGAGGCGTGCGAAGAGGAGAAAGAGGGGTGAAGAGAGGAGGGGAGAATGGAACAGTAAACGAGAGGGCAGAGAGAGGACCACAGAGGACAGAGGACAGAGGGAAGGGAGGCCAGCAGCATGAGTAGCGGGTGTTTACAAGTCTTCATTCACACCGTCCTGTCCGGAGCCACAGACATCTTGTCTGCTCTTGTCGTCCACACGCCAGGAGTCACAGCAGAACTGCTTCTAATCTCACCCAGCGTCTGGATCTGGGGATCCAGTCCAGGGTTTATCTGCTGCCCAGACTACAAACTGTGCCGATCAGACAGAATAAGGCGACCAGCCCGAGATCTAACGAGCCCTGCGGCTGTCAAAACCCGGAGGGGACCAGACTGCTGTGCAGTGGGAGTCTTGCCCGCTTGCCTGCATGACACGGCCAGTGAAGCCGGAATTCGTTGTTATTATATGCTCATGCTACTATTAACAAAATTAATACAGAACTACAGTCGGCAGGCTACGCAGATGTACCCGAAAATACGAGTTACAAATGACAAAATTTACATGGAAGAACTGTACTACCGGAGTGACACACTGTCACCCCCACTAATAATAATCAATCCTGAATAGTGAAAAGGTTTTGCTTACACTGGGTCTATAGCATGATATAAAACGCGTAATGTTATTTAATGCTCGTTCCTGTACTAAATAATCGGATTTATTTTTATAGTTTACCTAGAGAAAACAAAAACTATGCCACTCTAAAGCCACACGTACCGTCCGACGCGACCGAGCAGTAAAACACAGTAAGATCTACGGTCTATCCCTACGTTTTAACACGTTAAGCGCTTCAGACGTTGGACTTTACCTTCAGTTTAGCCAAAATATCGCCACATTTGTTTACAACTGGGTTCTTCTTGTTCCATTCGGATTTCAAAGTCTCGTACAGACTCGCTGTCTCTTTCAAAACCGACGCCATAGTGATTCTGCAAATTTTGCGACACCGGGCGGCCGGATAATACGGTATTGTGACAAATGACTGGTAACTACGGCAACATGCTGACTTCCGGACAACCTCATCCATTTCCTATCAACACAGTGGTAGCTTACGGACGCCATTTTGGTAAGGTCAAAATGCCTACGATAAAGGCGTTTTTTTTAACAATGAATAAACAATATTTCTGCTTTGATTCATTTACTCCCGCATACACACGCACACTCAAGGACAATTTAGAGATGTCAATTAACCCAGATATCATGCTTTTGGACTGAGGGAGGAAACCAGAGTCAGCAAAGGCATGCAAAGAACATGCAGACTCCTCGCAGAACGTGCTCTAGGCCAGAATGGAACCTAGGACACAAGACCTGTGGGCCCAGCAAAACGTCCCAGGTGAGCTTCTGTAGTTCCTTTCTTTTTTTTCCCACACTCTATGCCTTCCATCACTCCCATAAAAGTTTATCTTCAGTAGCAGAGGGTTATATTGCTGTATGTACTTGTACATTGGAATTCTAAGTCACGCTGCTCTCTTGGGACATACACATTACAGCAGACACAACACCACGCAATGCAGACAGCACATTACAAACATAACTAATAATAACAGAACAGTAAATATGTAGTTCTGGAAAAAAAGACTATGCAAAAAGTGCACAGTGCAGCACTGAGGTGCTGCAGTTAGCTGTAAGGGATGCACAGTGCACTAGGATAGAAGCTGGCTTGCTCTGCCCTCCTCCGTCCACAAAACCTTGTTCCCAAGCTCCTCCGGCTCGT